GGGCACAGCCCTTGGGGGTGCCTCTGAGAGTATGAGAGCCTCTCAGGCTGGGAGAGGGCCACCCCAGTTGGTGCAGGGCCAGTTTCCTCTCCACCCCTCTCCCCTCCTCCCACTCCTCCTCCCTCCTTCCCATCCCATTGCACCAACCACCCTGCCCTCCCTCCCTCCTCACCCCTCTTCCCTGGCATGCTGGGCTCCACGGGCCAGTAAGAGAAAGCTTGTCTCGTTGCCCACATAAATAATCACATCTCTGCTGTGGGTTCTTGTTCCCACGAAGTTCTCCTGACGCTCTGGGAAGGGTGCAGAAGAGGGGAGGCCTGGCCCTCCGGAAGGCGTTCCCATCTCCTCTCTTCACCCAGTGGCTCTGCTGAGCTCCAGGCCGGGTTTTCTTTCTGCCCCTGGGACCCCCACACACACCTGCTCCAGGGCCACAGGCACCTGACTCACCAGGGAATGTAGTGTCTCATCCAGTTGCTTGTCCTCCAGGGCCCTCAACTCAGGGAGGACCAGAGCCCCCAGTCTCCTCTGAGCGTCTTCCCTAGATCCTTACGGCCTCTTCTCTTGTTTTCCCGCAACTGCACAGGCATCAAGTCCAGAAGCTTCCATCCAAACGTGAAGCTGTCCAGGGCCCTGCCCAGCCCTGGCCACCACGCCTTCCCACAACCACAGCTGCTAACCAGCTCTGCAGAGGGGCTTTCACTGTTGGTCTGGCTGTCCCTTGCTCCCTCTCGGCCCCGATTCCCTGGTCTCCACCACTGTTGTCGGGAGGCCCCAGAATGTGGGACCTGAACCCCAGGAATGAAGTTCTGGGGCAGACAGGTAAGGGGAAACATCACTGAAGCATGTCCTGGCATGCTTTGCAATTTTGCTTCAATCCCCACAACACCAAAGGGCAGGAAGCACTTGGTTTAGTGGTATTGTGTCAGAAACACTTCCAACAACTGCTAATGAATGTATGTGTGGTGATCTATAGATAAAGTTCCACCATTTGTGAGTACACAGCTCAAAGGTCGCAAACACAAGTATAACCATCATCACTAGCAACTTCTGGGAGCTCTGGTAGCGTAGTGCCTAAGGTACCTGACTGCTAACCAGAAGGCTGGCAGTTCAAACCCCCCAGCCACTCCTCAAAAGGAAGGTTGGGCAATCTACTTCCGTAGTGATACTGCCTCAGAAACCCAAGGAGGGGTCACTATGAGTTGGATCTAACTTGATGGTAGTGAGTTAGTTTGTTTGGTTTTTGGTGATGGAACGGCAGTACCGTATCTGGTGGTGGCCGGCTGGCTTCAAAGAAGCGCCTCCCTCCTCTCCCCTGGCCTATAAGTACTTACACAGCAGTAGAACAATCCCAGGAGGGGTTTGGAGGACAAGCCAGGCTAGCCTGGCCGGCAGCCATTGCAGGTGGTGAGCTCCCTCCTGAGGGTGGTACAAGATGTCCCAGGTGACAAAGAGTTTCTTTACATTGGTGGTCACAAGCAGATGTTCCTTTCTGATATGTGCTGGCACCAGCAGCTGCCAGCTGGGCTGCTCAGAAAAGTAAATATAGGGAGGGGAGCCCAAAGAAAGAGAGGACAGTTTAGGATGGCGGAGCGGGGGTCGTTTGGGGGTGTTTGGAGGCTTATATCGTACAGTCAGTTTTGTTATTACTTGAGGCTTCAAATGAGCCTCCCAGAAGCAGAAGGAGGGATTCTCACTCCGTCAGGACACGTCAGCCAGGAGTGGAGCGTGTCCTTGACCCAAGATGCTGACCCTGGACTTCCTCAGCAGAGAGGGTGGCAGCAGAACCACCAGAACCGAGACCAGCACGAGACGGGACGGCAGGTTTGCCAGCCCACAGAGCGAGGAAGCTGGGTGCCTTTGGACAGGAGGCTTGCTGGCAGAGTGCCTGCACCTATTGGCAGAGCTGAAGGAGCTTTGCAACATTTGCCCAAGCCGGGCCGAGGCGGGGCTCAGAGGCTGAGGGCCACAGAGAGGCGTGCCTGCAGGCCTGGGTAAGGGGAGCCTGTCGTGCTACAAGAAAGGTATCTGGAGCATTCCTGAACCTGAAGCGTCACCTGTTACTTCCCTTGTAAACCCCATAATCATGAGTATTGTCTGTGAGTTGTATGTGGCTGTTGCAATGAATTATTGAATCCAGCAGAGAGGTAGTGGGTACCGTGGGAGGGACGGTTGGTGTCAGAATTGGTAAGATGGTTGGATGTCTGACTTCTGCCTCATAGGAAGCAGCCTTATCCTTCTAAAAGAAATTGTCTGAGCACTCACAGTATGCCTATTCATAAGTCGATGGCCATTTGGGTGGTTTCCACCTTTTAGCCATCGTGAACAGAGCTACTGGGAATTGTTATTGTTGTTATGTGCCGTCGAGTCGGACCCGACTCATAGCGACCCCTCCTTGGGTTTCTGAAGCAGTATCACTACGGAGTAGATTGCCCCATCTTCCTTCTGAGGAGTGGCTGGTGGGTTTGAACCTCCAGCCTTCTGGTTAGCAGTCAAGTGCCTTAGGCACTATGCTACCAGAGCTTCTACTGGGAATATCAATGCTCAAGTATCTGTTTCAATCTCTGCCTTCGGCCCTGGTGGGTGGATACCCCAGCATGGAATTGCTGGGTCCTGAGGTAATGCTATGTTGAACTTTGTGAGGAACCCCAAACTTTTCTGTAGAGGCTGTACTGTTTTATTTACACTCCCATCAGCAATGTACCAGGGTTCCAACTTCTCCACAAAGCTACTTTTTAGAATGAAGCCAAGCCTGCAACCAGTGTCCAGATAAACTACTCAAACAGTTTTGTTATCATTGTTGCTATATGTGCAGTTACTGTCTACCTACTGGAGGCTGAGTTTCCACTTTGGAAGGGGCAGTGAAACAAGGTCTCATTTCAAAATAAACTTAAGTAGAAGAAGTGAGGCAATTTAGAGATAAATGAGGGGTGAGCAGCATAGGCGGACAGAGCATGGCAAGAATCCGAGGACAGGGTCCAAATGGCTGGTGTTAAAGAAACAACTCTGTGTGTGAGTGTATGTGTGTGTGTGTGTCTGCAGGCCAGGTGTGCGGGGCGGTGCCTTTGTGACAGTGTGGGATTGTGTCTTTTGCCTCTGTCAACCAGAATCCAAAACCGGGACCCAAGCATGGGAACGGGACGGGGCCAGGGGAGCCCCAAAGCTTCTGTCAACCCTGAACTTCTAAAAGGCACATCGCAGCCCTTAACACGAGTCCGCACATCTCATGGTGGGAGGTTAGCAAACCGTCCACGGGAGAAAGGACCGGTGCGCTCCAGCCCGTAGAGGGACGATGGGGGTTCTGGGGCGCCCTGTGAGGGGCGTGCGTGCGGGGTGCCCACGCAATTCTGGGTGCAGGCCTGTGCAGCCCGAGCGCCCTTTGTCGGAGGAGCCGGGCAAGTGCGCGCAGCGCGCGGGGCTGGACGCGGGCGCAGAGGCCGCTGGTCCCTGGCATCCGCTGCGAGGCGAGCTCGCTGTTCTGGGCGCAGGAGCTGTGCGTGGCGCCACATGCGGGCGGGGGTCGGTGCAACCGGGACCCCTCCGCAGAACGAGCGTGTGAGGAGTGCTTCCGGGACATCCCGGTGCAGCACCAGCCGGAGGAGTGCGCCGAGCGCACGGCGCCGGGGGCAGACGTGCCGCTGGGTGCGGGACGCCCACTGCAAACCAATGTGAGGGGCTGGGTGCGTGGCGACGGGGGACGCAGAGCGCGGCGGCCCGGGGGCGCCCCCTGCGAGGCTGGACGTGAACCCACCGCGGGCCCTCCGGGAGGCGGGAGCTCGCGTCCCGCCAGCGCAGTGACTCAGCATCGGGGCGGGCCGGAGCGGACAGGGGCGGGCCCGGGAGACCCTTATAAGGCTCGGAGGCCGCAGGGCCTGAGGCCGGAGCTCCATTGCCGCCACCTGTACTCCATCAATCAGTGAGTCCCCGCGCAGCCTAGGCCCCAGGGGCTAGCGCGTCCCTGGCGTGGGGTCGGGCTCCCAGGGTCGGGGAGAGCCCCCAGCGCCGGCTGGCGCTCCCAGGGGCCGGCGCTCCCAGCGTTGAGTCTGGGCTCGGAGACCCCGGGGCTCCTCCAGCGCCGGGAAGCAGATCCCAGGGGCCTCGTACCGGTCCAGCGGGAGATTGGGGTTCCTAGGGCTCTCTGGCTCCCTTAGCTAAGAGGCCAGCTCTTAGGGGGTCCTAAGCACTTTGAACTGGGGGTGGGGCCGTAGGGAGGATGGCCAGTGCGCCCTCAAACTCCCTCATTCCGGACTCTGACAAACTTCTCTTTGTCCACCCTAGTGCCACCCTACACCATTGTCTACTTTCCGGTTCGAGGTAAGGGCCCAGGACTGGAGAGGAGGGGTGGCAGAAGTTGGGGACTGCAGCCCAGAGGCCCCTCACCCACCTCGGGGAGACTCTAGGCCCCATTATCCCTCCCTCCTGTGGCTCCCAGCCCCGGGCTCCTTTGATCCCTGGCCCCCGGGCCTATCCTCTCCCTGTGTGCTGTGAGAGGCGGGTCCCCACACCCTCATACACACCCCTGTGTGACCCCCAGGGCGCTGCCAGGCCATGCGCATGCTACTGGCTGACCAGGGCCAGAGCTGGAAGGAGGAGGTGGTGACCAAAGAGGACTGGCTGCAGGGCCCTCTCAAGGCCTCCTGTGTGAGTGAGCGAGTTGAGGGTGTGGGGGACAGGGCTGGGCCCAGGAGTGTGCCACGGGAAGGGAGCAACTGAGCTCAGTACGCTCACCTGGCTGTTGCCCCGCCCCCAGCTGTACGGGCAGCTCCCCAAGTTCCTGGATGGAGACTTCACCCTGTACCAGTCCAACACCATCCTGCGGCACCTGGGCCGCTCCCTGGGTGAGTCTGGGGTCCCGGCTCTGGCGGGGGTGGGGCACGGCAGCCAGCATTCCTGAGCCCCTCTCATTGCTGGCCACCTGAGCCTGATTCATTTCAGTCCATGGCAGCCCTGTGACTGGAGAGCACGCCGGTTTGCAGTTGAGGGAATGAGGCCCAAAGCCGCGCCCAGCCCCGGCTACAGTCCCCCAGGCTGCCTCCCCTCGGCCTGGGCCCCTGCTGTGTCCAGCTCACTGGCTCCTTTGTTCCTTTCCCCCATTACGTCTCCACATGCTCTCCCCTCCCCCAACCCTGGCCCAAGTCAGCCTGCCGGTGGTGGATCAGTCAGGTGCCAGTCACGCTGCCCCCTCCCATCCCCCAGGCCTCTATGGGAAGGACCCGCGGGAGGCCGCCCTGGTGGACATGGTGAACGACGGCGTGGAGGACCTGCGGTGCAAGTACTCCACCCTCATCTACACCAACTATGTGAGTGCAGGCCACCTGTGGGCACTACGGGCTGAACCAAGAAAGGGTCTTCCGGGAGCCCCTCAGGCAGGGCACCGGGGCTGGGTGGAGCCCTCACCCTCCCTCCTTGGGGGCAGGCAATGGCAGAACAGTCCATTGAGGGGAGACATCCGGCCTTGGTGGGAGAGCCAAGGAGGCCTTCCTGGAGGAGGCAGATGAGGATCTATAGTCAGCTTCCGGAAGGAGAGGCTGGCACTTTCGGATGTAGGCACAACTGGAGCAGGGGACCAGTTTAGTGGAGGCAGAGCATGTATGTGTGTGCATGTACGTGTGGACATGTGTTTGCATGTGTGCGTGTATATGTGTGTACACAACTGTTCGAGTGTTTGTGAGTGTGAGCGTGTTTGACATATGTGTATGTGTTCACAAGGGTGTGAGTTTGTGTATTTTCAAATGCTGTGTGAGCATGTTTGAGTATATGTGTGCATGCATTTTTGAGCATGACTTGTGCATGATTGGGGTACATGTGTGTGATCCATGTGTACCTGTGTGTTAGTGTGTGCATATGTGTGTGAGCACGTGAGTGTGTGTGTGTATGGAGAGGCTGCATGGCTGGAGCTGCAGCTTCAGAAACACCAGGTCAGGAGGCCCGAACCCACGAATCTGGACCTTCTCCTGAGCCGTGGGGGCCATTAGGAGTGTAGGCAGCACGTTGCCCAAGCGTGAGGTCTAGCAGGAGCCAGCTCCGAGGCCCTGCAGTAATCTGCACGGTGGGAACAGAGGAGAGTTAGTCACTGGCATGGACAGGGTTGGCTGGTGGCTGGGCGTGGTGATGAGCACAGAGCCCCGAGGCTCCCGGTCCCCGGCCTGGGTGGTGTGGAGCGGTTGACCCTCCTGACTGGTACTAACAGAAGGGGCCATCTGGGGGCGGAGCTGGGCTGAAGGGCAGCTGCACAAGGAAGATGGCACATGGTGGTATCTTCTGGGCAGGAGGCCGGCAAGGATGGCTACGTGAAAGCACTGACTGGGCACCTGAAGCCTTTTGAGACACTGCTGTCCCAGAACAAGGTGGGGCAAGCCTTCATCGTGGGTGATCAGGTGAGCACGGCCCCACCCCACCCCTTCTGCACCCACTTCCTAGAGAGGAAAACGGGTGCAAAGACCTCGGGAGCCGTCTTAGGTGCAGGCAGCCCCAGGCAGTCACTGCTGCTACCCAAGGAAGCCCCCTTGCCCTCTGCCCACAGATATCCTTTGCTGACTACAACCTGCTGGACCTGCTGTTGATCCACCAGGTGCTGGCGCCTGGCTGCCTGGACGCCTTCCCCCTGCTCTTGGCCTACGTGGCGCGACTCAGCGCACGGCCCAAGCTCAAGGCCTTCCTGGCCTCCCCGGAGCACAAGAACCTCCCCATCAATGGCAATGGGAAACAGTGAGGGCTGTGGACCTAAAGGGGTGGTGGTGCAGAGGGGCCTGCCCGCTTCCCTTCCCCAGGACCAATAAAGGTTGGAAAAGGAGCTACGGTGTGAGCACTGTTTCCTGGGAGGGGTCTCTGGGTCCCCAGGTGTCAGGCTGGAGGGAAGGGTGGGCAGTGAGGGACAGGGCAGGGTCGAGACACTTGGATCCTAAGACACAGCTGGAGCGTCTTTCCAGAATCTTCGATCTAGGCCATGTTTCTCACTGCTGTAAGTTGATCCCAGCTCATAGAGACCCTCCCTTGGGTTTCCAAGCTGTAAATGTTTCCGGAAGCAGACTGCTTCATCTTTCACCGAGCAGCTGCTGAGTAAGAGCCGCTGACCTCTTGGCAGCCAGATGCCTTAGCCGCCAGGCTGAGTTTACTACTGAACTTCAAAAACAGGAAGAGGGTTAAATAAAATAAAATAAAACAAGTAGAAAGAGAAAGAAGCGGGGGCCCTGCACTAGAGAATGCAGAAAGAAACTCAGAGCGAAGACTCCCTCCAGGGAACATGCTTCCCTGTCCTGAGCGGCCTTCTGGGGGAGTGGCTCCAGGGCAGCTGGGAGCTGAGGGCAGGCCCAGGACCATGGGGTCAGCAGCTCTGAGGGTTCTGGCTGGGTCTGGGGACGGACGCTCGTTCAGGTGGGCGCTCATCTGACCTCCTGCTGCCTGGTGGGCCTGGGAGCAACCCCGACAGGTTGCTTAAGGGTGGAGCTCGGTGAGACAGCAACCCTGCCTGAGCGGGCTTCGCTGGGGGTCCTCGGTGGTGAAGGGCCAGGCAAAGCAGAGGCAGGAGTTCCCAGGGGTGGCTGGAGAGGAGGAGCTATGGAAGGTCCCCTCAGTGCAGCCTGGAGGGGAAAAGACACCTCCGTGGGAAGTCCTGCCCATGGCACAGGGCTCCCACCACCAGCCCAAGCAGGCTCAGACCTGGCCTAAACTGAGAAATACATGCCGACTGGTCAAAGCCAACCTACTGTGGTTTCTCTGTTTAGCGATACTGGATAATTAAGACACCACCCTTGAGGCAGATTCTATTATTCCTATTTGCGGATAAGAAAACCAGTCACAGAAAGTTTAAGTAGCTTGTTCATGTGTGAATAGAGGCATTAACAAGGTTATTCATTGCATGCTTGTTAGTAATCACCAGAAACACAGCCTAAATGCCCATCCATAGTGAATTGGCTAAATACATTAAGGTACACACGCACACACACACACACACACCATGGAGTCCAAATGCACTGTGTGGGGGTAAAAAAGAACAGGAAGCCTGGTGCAGGCTCTTGGTGCAGACAGGGATGGTAACTGAGTGCACCTCCATTTCCTAGAGGCCACGACTGCTCACCCAGAGGATATTCCTATATCCTCATGTCCCCTTAGCAGTCAAGCAGAACCATATGACATGTTCTGGCCGTGGTGGGTTGAATGTTGCCTCCCTCAAAAAAATACACCCACTTCCCAGCCCCTGTGAGTATAGTCTCAGCTGGAAAAAGGGTCTGTGGAGGTGTGATTAACTCAAGGATCTCAGGTGGTGGTGACATGTGACCCCAGCCAAGCCTTTTCCTTGGGAATCTGAGACTTCACTGGAGGGACATCTCACAGGGAAAAGCAAAAGCCCACGTGTTCTCTCCAGGAGCAGCCCCTTGGCCTGGATAGCGCCTAGATCCAACGAAAAGTGTCCTTATCAGAGACACACGGGAGAGACACAGGGAGAATATGGCCATGTGAGGACAGGCAGAGGTTGGAGTGATGTGGCCACAAGCCAAGGAAATGAACCAGGCTTTGATCCTCTGCTGAGAATTTGCTTTTCCTCCCCAAAAGTGCTGAATCAGAATCCACATTTTAATAAGATCCCCGGCGGTGGAAACGCACATTTTCCTTGGGACTAGAACCCACCGAACCACTTCTAAGCCCTGGATTGAATGCAAAGGCCACCAGAAGAGGGAAGAAAACTGAAAAAAAAAACACAAACTCACTGCCGTCGAGTCTGATCTGACTTGTAGTGACCCCTCCTTGGGTTTCCGAGGCGCTATCACAGTGGAAGTAGATTTCTCAACCTTCCTTCCAAAGAGTGGCTGGTGGATTTGAACAGCCAGGCTTCTGGTTAGCAGTCAAATGCCTTAGGCAGTACACCACGAGAGCTCCTAGAAGAGGGCAGAGACAGGAAGGAATTCCCCTAGAGCTTCCAGAGGGGGTACAGCTCTGCCGACTCCTCCATTTCAGACTCCAGGCCTCCAGGTAGATAGGTGAGAGACTAAACTCCCCTTGTGTTAAGCCATTTGTTAAGGCAGCCCCAGGTAACACCTCTGCTGGCAGATGGGCAGTGGGCAGAGGGGATTGTCGCATGCAGGCCCAGTTCCCGAGTGAAGGGTACATGAGCAGAACCCCCTACTGGTGTGTGATGGACACGTGTGCGACTGAGAAATGCCCTTGTGGTTTTGCATTGCCGCATGTGCAGGGAGTCTGATAACTGCAGCCCAGCCCAGCCCATCCTATCGGATATAACCTTTGTTCTAAGTTCAGGACAATGTAACCCCGAACACACTCAGCCTCTTCCAGCCCGTGCAGGTGGTCAGGGAAGGGGATGAGAGAGAGATGTCTGTGATGTTGGTATAGTTTCCCCAAGACCAGGCCTGAGAACTGTCAGTCATGGGGAGCTGAGAGACTCTAGGGGTGGAGGTGGGAGAGACACCGAGTAGAGTGAAGTCATCCGAGACCAAAGCTCCACTGCTCAGCCTCCCCCTCGGGACAGACATTGGGTGAAGGGCTGCAACAGATGGACAGGGCCCTGGCCAGGAACGGGGTGCTCTCTGCAAAGACTAGGGACATGAAGCTCATGGGTACAGCATCTGGCCTGAGCAGCCTGGCAGGGTGGCTTTGACTACTGGGGAGAGAGAGAGCCAGAGAAGGTTCCTGAAGGAAACTTTTTTTTTTTTTTTAATAGTATGAATTTTATACATTATCTAATTTAATTCTTAAACAGTGCTGTGAGGTACATGGTTTTTTTTTTTTTTTTAATTGTGATTTGGGTGAGAATTTACAGAGCAAATTCGCTTTCCAGACAGTAGCTCATGTACACTTTGTCTCATGACATTGACCACAATTCACCACAATGCAACAGCTCCCCTCCCACTTCCTCCCGACAGTCACCTCTTCCCTGTGTCCATCCCTCCATGCACTCCTGCTCCCTGAGCCGTCTCCCTGTGCATAAGCAGCCCTTCTTTCTCCCATTGTTCTCTCCAAGGAGTGTATCTACATCAGGTAAATATTCAACTCCTATGCCTGTCTTTTGTTTGGCTGGAAGCCACAGGTATGGGTTCAATTCCAGACCTGAAGGGCAGCTAGGGGCCATAGTCTCAGTGGTTCCACCAGGCTCTATCAGACCAGCAAACCTATTCTCCCCCGTATTTTTTTTTTTTTTTCCCAAATGATTTTGAGTTTTGTTCTACATTGCTCTCCCTCTCTATCCAGGATCTCCTCCATAGATCCCCCTCTGAGTGGTTGACAGTGGTAGCCGGGCACCATCTAGTTCTTCTGGTCTCACAGTCCTATAGGCTGTGGATCGCATGGTGTACCAATCACAAGGACTAATTCTTTCCATGAATCTTTGGTTTTCTTCATTCTTCTTTTCCTAGAAGGAAAATTTTGAGCCAAGAGATAAATTGCCATCACAAACCTTGCCCACTGCCTCCAAAAGGCCCTGTCCCCCCAACTGCCGAGGACTTTGGTCCACTCCCCTTCTTCTCCCTTCTCTGGACATCAGCATCTCCCTCTCATTCTCTTTCAGAAACCCCATTTTCTCCAGAGCTGGTTCCAGCTGCCCTGTCTGGAGCCAAGCTGACCGGAAGCCTTTCCCTTGGAAATTGAAAATGTGAATGGGAGGACATCTGGCAGCGAGAAAGCAGGAGCCCACGTGTCCTTCCTTTGAGAAACAGCTCCTGGTTTGGGCTTGGTCCTGGGCTCCGGGGAGACGGGACACGTGTTCCAGGGGATGGCAGCTTGAGTGCTTGTCAGAATGCCCAGGTGTAAAGACGTGTGCAGACACTGCTGCCTCCCCGCACATGGCTCTGGGGGCCCCGCCAAGCAAGCCCCTCCCAGGAAACCACAAGAGCTGGTGACTCAGGCTGCCACCCTAAACTCACCTGCCACACCTTGGCCTTGAGAGCTGTGCCTGTGACCAGACCCCCCAGGCCTGAAAACCCAGAGCCCGACTCCCACGGCTCCACACGGCCTGGGTGCACAGGCCTGCACACGTCCCCTTTGGGGCAGTCCTTTGGGTCAGGGCTAGATTAAGTCATGTGGGGGCTTCTGAACACTGATCATCTGTGGTGCCCCTCCCCCGCTCAGTCGTGCATTCAAACACGATATGTAAGTTACATATACATGTGTTTGTATCTTACCTATCCATGATGTAACTTCCTTTTAAATGGAGCTCTGGTGGTGTAGGAGCTCTAGTAGTGTAGTGCCTAGGGCACTTGACTGCTAACCAGAAGGTTGGTGGTTCAAACCCACCAGCCACTCCTCAGAAGGAAGACTGGGCAATCTGCTTCTGTAGAGATACTGCCCTGGAAACCCAAGGAGAGGTCACTATGAGTCAAATTGATTCGACAATAGTGAGAGTTATTATTATTTTTTAATTTTTATAATACGAACAATTGACTGCAAAAGCAACATGTACCATTTTAGCAGAAGGAGATGAACTGGGTTATACATTTTTAGGGGATGCATGGTACTGAGGGGAGATCTGGTAGCATAGTGCCTAAGGCACTTGACTGCTAACTAGAAGGCTGG